CCTTTGAAACGCGAACTCAACGGGTGATGTTTGCGTCCACCTAAAGAAAAGCTTTGAATATGAAATCTACTCGATTTCGTAGAGGTGTCTCCCGCGTAAGTAACTCTGCACAGTGAAGTAAGCGACGCCTGCTTTTCCAATCATACACGTCATAAAGAGTGAAGGATAAATCATGGTCACTGATCAGTCACTTTTTTTGGGATGCGGCACTCATTCCCCATCCAATTCAGACATAGTGAGGCGCCATTTTAGGGAGGGGGGGGAAGCATTTGTTAGCTCCTGTTTACAAGTCGCACTCTGGTGAAACCTGTGAACGGTCAAGCCAATCATGGTTGAGCCCGCCAACTCGAGAAGATGTTTTCTAGAAGGTCGACACGTCGATGGGAAGTAGCAAAAATGCGGACGCCACCCCCTTCACGTCGCAACTGCGCCAATAGATGGTTGCATTTGTGGAGGTGCAATGGAGCGTTATAATGGCTGAAGGGCATCTGGTGTTAGGTATGGTGTTAATTATGACCTCCCAGGTGACATCTAGTACCAATTTAGTCCCGCTAGAGAGCGGGACTTGTTGGCATGGGACAATCCAGAATTCGATTTAGTGCACCCGCGGCGAGTGAACGTGCAGATAACAGCTACCTCTCGCTCTCCAGTCATATTACTTCGAATATTGAATCAAATACTATTGGCAAAATCTGTAGTTGAGGGGTGCTACGTGGCAGGCGACTATGGAGACGAGGACCTCTAGCTGATCCGAAAGGGCAAAGAAGCTTCGGACTGAGTGACGGCGTTCCAAATGCGGTGGTTCTACTCGGATTACATTCAGTCCCGGTTGTGCACAACGAGTCCTTTAAAGGCGAAGTCCGCGATCATCCGCCATCACAAATAGTGGATTAGGGGTTTGCATATAGACGACAAGGTTTTGTGTAACTCGCTAGTGAAGAAAAAAAAGCAGAAAAAGCATTAGAACTGCCCTAGATAGAACCTCATTTTGGTCCTATAGTTCGTGCGTGCCCAGTGCATCCCATCGTCAACACTACGACCCCATCCGCAGCTGATTCCCCGATAAGAACTCTACGACCGTACAAGTGACGATTTTCATGCTTTTTCGTCCTGCAGCTTCGTTTTTCACTGAAAGGCGGGCCTTGAAGGCGGAGTCTGGAGGCGGAGTCACTGGAAAAAAGGAGGCGTCACTGAACCTATATTGCGCTATAGCGCCCCTCCCTTACAATTTTTTTTGCCGCGAAACCGGTACAAGGTAAAATGTTGCGGACCACACAACCCTCGCGACGGCATACTTTCAACTTCTACACCTGATCGCGGATGGTGCCTTTAGATGCCCCCCAAGACAACCGATGAAGTTCTGCGAGCCCACGCTTTTAATGTGATTTGTGCCTACCCGCAATTCATGTTCAGTCTTCAAAAAGAAGTGGCAAGATAAAGCAATAAAAAGATGGACAAGACATGATGTGGCAAGATCTTTAGCCTTTATAGCCCTCCCTCTCCCGCTCGAATGCATAGATACTTCTCTTTTCTATCATTTCATTTGTTTATTATTATTATTATTATTATTATTATTATTATTATTATTATTATTATTATTATTATTATTAGCATCACGAATTTTTTGATGAAAAGCATGGTGCTCTGGGGAACGCCACGCATTCAACTTCTATTTAGAACAGCTTCTGAGTGCGATTTAGCTAATAGACATGAGAGAACCAGACGATGCACACCTTAGTGGTTTTATCCCCACACAGGTTTGCTCCTCCCGGGAGTAGGAAAGTTTTCGGGGGAATGCCCGGAAAAAATGCCTTTTCTTGACTACATTACCCATATGTTTTATACAATTATGGAGCATGTTTTGTTTAACCATAAATCAATGGGATTAGCATGGAATGTTTAAAGCTGCTTTTTTTCTCACTAAACCTGAAACTTCTAAGCTTTGCCGTTGCCGCAGGGCTGTGCTAGTTTGAGAAAATCCCACAAACGATTGGTGCTGAAAACATCGCACACCTTAAAAACACATGACTGCAGAACTGCATAACTATGACAATCACACGCACTTTGAATGGACTATTTAGAAGAAAGACTGAAAAAACTTTGAAAAAAAATCAGTTGGCATAGACTGCACCCTCTGAGCCTCTCCTTCCAATGAAGGTCACTCGCTGCTGCTCGCAACACCACAGCGAACCTAATTCCCGTAGCTCATTCGAAAATTCACTTTCCTAGTAGTTTATTCATTTTGTAACCTATTTTTATAATTCTATACCTTGCACAAATATCCTGGTCTGCAAACACAGATATACCGAGACTACTTTAGTCATCTCACCTCCTTTCCCCCTCCTTACAGTGAAAGTCAGTTGGCAAAACCACACTATTTCGAATCATGAAGGCAAAACCCTCACGATGAATCCTCTAAGTCTTTAGGACGACACGACAGAAAATTAGGCCACCCCTAACAGCGCGCGGGCACCTTTCCCAAGTAAGTACAGACTGAGAGAGCCCTGTCAAGCTGTTACATACCGCCCCAAAGCAAACAAATCGGTCCGCGTTGTTTCCCCGCTCCCCCAGCACCAAGGAACAATACTGATCGTATCGCTTCATGTGAACCACACACAAGAGGGGGAAATGATATGAGAGCGGATTTGCGCTGCTGGCAGAGGATATAAGTGAGGAGCATCACATGCAGCCAGAAACCCACACAACCCCAGCATCTACCGTAGGCGGCTATCGGCACGAATAACAACAGAACCGCACCAAAATGTTGTCTGATTTGTAAACAAAGGTTTTACACCAGGATTTTTTGAAGCTTTTCACTTCACTTTTTATCATTCTCTCCTTCTCGCAACTTATAGAAGAAGCCCTGCCCATCTATAGACGAGTATACGAATCATCGTGCTATGGCCTTGAAAGCACCCAGGCAAGAACAAAAAGCGACTTTGAGTGTTCTTCTTTCTGAAATTTTGTGCTAAGAAACCAGAAAACGACTTCCTTTTCCAATATTTTCGCAGAGGCACGTTTCTGTTTCATCCCGTAACTTTGTACTTTTGTACATTTTCCTTATATTTCGGCCCGAGTTTAGTAGCAGCAGGACTGATGCACTTACCTTCAATTAAATTTGGGAAATTGTAGCGAATCTTTACGCTTGTCTGCATAAAACTGTAAGGTTTCGAAAAAAGAGGATGGTCCGGTACGGAACAGTCCTTGACAGGTGAGTGTAGCAGCCCGCCCTTTTATGGGAGGGTGAGAGGTCGTAGCAACTCGTACAAAATCCCCAGCATAATGGTACGCCCTGAGTGAAACACAGCTTCTGGCTTTCCTTGGTGAGTTTGACGGTTGCAAAGTTCCCCAGCTTGACTCAACGAAAATCCTCGAAGAAGTCTACTTACCTATGTAAACAAGGCCATTCGTATTGAGCTGGTTGGCCTTTGGAGATGAAACAACTGTCGTCACTTTGTCATCGATAATCACAGTGGTTCGATGGTCTTGCCTGCAAAAAAAAACGCGTCAAAAGATGTCATAAATCCCTGGCAACCCCTCAATTCGATGAGGTTCTCAGCTGAGTTCATTTCTCGGTTCCCCGAAGAGCGATTGTACTAACTTTCTACTTATTCTCTATCTGCGTAGTGCTACGGCTACAAAACGTGTCTTGGATGGCTACAAATCGCATGAATAGAATTGAAAGGTAGTGCGGTAAGGGACTTCTCGGCAGCCCCTCCCTGTACTCTACACTAACGAAAGCTTAGCAAATGGCACGATAAGTCGGCAAGTCGTGCAGGGTCGATACGCCTAGCACGAAAAAATATTGTGCCCCCCAGCAGGCGCTGTGTGGCGCCAACAAAGGGCACCGATATAGAGCCCAACTAAGGGGCAAAATTTCGACCCAAACGCCTACCAGCGCAACCTCCCGCCCACAAATGGCCGCACAGTCATATCGACACTGGCACTTTTATCGCTTCATTTATGAAATACAATTCATGTGAAGCGTTGCTGTTCATAAGTGCAGCCGTACCTATCGGCAAGGCTGTTGGAACGATGCCAACGAGAAACTCGTCTAAAATTGCTTGTCCAGTGCCGTTCAGCACAACGCCTTTTCGCAGGTCTTTGGCTGTTTGCTTTCGCTTTTCGTCTACTTAATTAGCACCAATTGTTACTATTTTGAGCAAAGTACCAAACTATGTGCCTAAGCCTCTGAGCTCCTAAGTTGCAGGACGGACTAAAAATCACTAAGTATGCTCCTATACAGAAAGATATAGGGAACACTACTACAAATATCTTCAAAGAAGAAACATCGAAGCGAAAGGCTACCGCCCTGTCCATCCTCTGCTTTTGCCGCTAGTTGGTAGCCCCCTCCGCTCGCCAACCAATACCCAACCGCGGAAAGGGGAGATTCTATGTTAGCCGCAATGACAATAATGATTGTCAAGGCGATGACTGCTTAGCTTTTTGCCTTCGTTTCGTGCCCCACAAAGACAAGTGCAGATAGACCAAATGACAATCGGTTGTTCATGCGGCCCGCAAAGGGGTGAAGAACATAACGATGGACCCACGACGAAGCTTTTTTTAGGCTCTTCCGCTAGCGGTGGACTCCAGATTGGATTGGCCACTTACACAGTACTTACGCACGATGGCTGGGGGTGGGCGGGTGTTGCCAGCGTCATTGGTGTAAGTGGTGAGTGGGGTATAACAGAACGCCCTCTCGCAACTATTCCACCAATTGACCCTAGGCAAGCAACACCCTACGCTCCTGCCCTGTGTGCCCTCTGCCTTTACGGAAAGTAGGGTAGAGGCATTCCTTTGTACTTTCAGATGCGGTAATAGCCTGTTTCCTCCTGTCTCTTCCGGAGGAAGAAGCCACCATGGAAGTAGGCTGATGCCGCGCCAAAACTATGTGAGTTGGTACGCCTCCATCCAACGATAAACATGTGATATGATTGTATCAACACAGCGGAAAAATTTCTGGGCACGAAAGCAGTTCAGAAGAATTCGTGACAAAACGTTCAGAAATGGTACCTTTCAACAGCCACCCGATGCCATCTTCCATTGACCACGGCAAGGTTTGTTGCCACCGACTTCAGAGTGTCGTTTCCGAGGTTCACAGCGATATTCACCATTCCTCCTCTGAGGTGAATGATGAGAAAATCGCTTGAGTCTGAACCAGACCATTCCGATTCCCACCAAATTACTCCATCTGTCGACGATGTTCGAAATTCGAACGAAAATTGTGACGTCTTTGACGAGAAAACCCTGAAATTTCCTCTTCAAATTGGGTTTCTCAAAGCACGCCGGCCGTATGGAAGACAAAGTCACTACTTGCCCGCCTTCTCGATGACACAGTCCTACGCTTAGCGCTTCTCCTACGCTTAGCCTTCTCAGAGAAGAGCATCGTATCAACGGACAAAGCAGAACGGCAGGCCTGACCCTGATTACCCAAACAGCGTGAATGTCTTCAAGCCGGAAAACTGTAAACTCACGGCTCGGTTCCACCGTTCAGATAGAAATACTCCGTGGACCCATTGAAGAATGCGGCTTGTTCACCATTGACATATCCTGTAAATAAAGAACACAAGATGGCAGCAAGAGGCTGACAAGCAATTTAGGCAGGAGAGGTCGTAACCACCCTTCGAGATCGGAATCGGCGTCAGATCAAAGCGACTCCAGTGCGCCCCACGGAAGGGCAAGGAGTTTCCACATGCTTTTACAGTAGTAGATAGAGGTTGTACGCAGGCGCAAAAAGTCTAACCATCGTCTATATGGATGGCCTTCAGCTTCCATTAAATTGCAAAGGAACTATCCACTCACGTCAGCGGTGGCGCAAAGGCAAGTGCCGCTGTTTAACCAGCGCACCGTCACAGGTCGGGCTTAATATCAGTTCCAGCCGGGGCCAGCTTACCTGCCTGCACCTTCAGAGTGGGAAAGTCTGGTAGAAGGAAGAACACTGGATTGTATATCGGCTAGCTTCCACAATTCATTGTATGGCGTCCAAAAGTCACTTCGGTTCTCAATAGAAGCAGAAAAAGCCGCCTTCTCCGAAGAAAGGCCTGGATCAACTAGATACCCTTCACCCTTTCCCTTCTCCTTGATTTACTTGAATTTATCATATAGTGGGGAAAAACGTGAAGCTGACGACATAGATAGCCGCTCTAGAATGCGCCACGTCTTCAAATGTCATAGAGAGCGCAAAGGCTCCAAAGGTCATACCATTGTTGAAGTTACTGTGCTTAGAGGCAGTTGGCACGATAATTTGGTACACAGCCCAAAATGCTAGCAGGGCGCTGTCTAGTGGGAAAATGGCGAAAAACGAAGTGAAACGGTCGAAAACTGCGAAGAAAAGCCTTCGTTCTTGAAAGCAATTTCGGACGAGTTTCCCGTAGGCGTGTTGCAAATAAGCGCTCCGGTAGGTACGGCTGCATGTATGTACTCAT